TTGAAAATTATGGAACATAAATCATTAATTATATATTGTACCATCATTTTTAATGTGGATACAAGATATATTGGTAATATATTTGTCATTGGTCAATATTGGATGGTTAATTTTACATTAATTATTTTGTCATCATCCAGTGCTCACTTAATGTTAAACTTTAAAACATGAAAAGTGTTTTTAAAACAGTGTTATTTAATCTTTAGCAAATCGCAAAATTACATGGTTCTTTTTCATACTGTATTGCAGAATGTTGTGATGCCAAATTTACTAGCATTTAAAGCTATTTACGGTATTCTGATGTGCAGTGCTTCCATTTATATTCAATTTATTTATTATTAGAATTTTTTTCATTTTGAAGGAGAATTGATTCATAATTCATCATGGTCAAAATACACCAGATCCAGTGTTCACGTGGTCACTGTTGGGCATGGTTTTGTAAATATGTGTCAGTACATGACAGAAAGTCATTGAGAGGGTGTGTATAAAAAATAGTGGGTGGGAGACTAGAGTACTGTAGCACAGTAAGCACACCGTGGACTGGTGTCGAATGTCACACCTGGATTAGAGTTTTGGGAATCAGCTCTGGGATGTGTCATATCCACAATCCGCTCTGATTCCTCACAGTATGAGTCAAACACATCGCAGTCTCAGAAGCTGACAGAGGTGCTGGGTCCGTTAGGCAGGGACAGTAGGTGGAGCGGGTGGGGGTGGGTGATAATTCTGAAGGGCGTGTGACATTCGTTGCTCGCTTTTCTCAGTGTGAAATCGAATGCACGCATTGCACAGTAATAAACTTTTACTCATTAACTAATCTTTATCCCAGCTGTATGTGAAGTCCAAAGTAGAGGCAACAAGTACACACCTCAGGTCAGCAGTAAATCGATGGTTCATCAATCATTTCCCCTCATACACTAGTTATTTTATTAGATATTGTTTTTCTTTATTTAACAATGTTAACTTACAATAGTGAACGATGTCTTCCCTTTTTGATGGTTGTTAGCTGGTTACTATGCATTTGCTAAGGCATTTTCAGTGGACTTTAGCATTGCTAGCTTGCTGTTTGGGTGTTCTGGGTGGTTGCTATGTTTTTGCTGTGGCATTCTGATTGGCTTTTAGGATTGCTGTGTGGTTGTTAGGGTGTACTGGGTGTTGATATGCCATTACTATGGTTACTGTTGTGTTCTAGGTGTTTGTTAGGTTGTTACTGTGCACTTGTTAAAGTATTTTGAGTATTCTGGGTATGTTGGGACTGAATATACCTTGTTGAGTCAAGTCCTAGTCATTAAATCTTTCCCCGCCATTGACGGAATTGTCCGGCTTACGTTTTTTTCACTGTCATACGGTAGGGGGCGCTATTACACATCTTCTGAGAGAGTAATGAATCTCTGGATCAAAGTGACCACGCATGTAAACAGATGCATATGTAAAATAATGTGATCATCAAAAATTAAACGGCATATAAATCAAAACTGCCTAGCGTCACCGAATGAAATGCCGCCCCAGGAAATGGTGTAGGACTATGCAAGTTTTTAGGGGTTGATGGAAACGATCTACTCCATCTATGTTTTGATCATCGTTCTGAATCCAATCCGGACATAGTCTTTGACACAAACGTGTTTTTTTTTATTCAGCTCTTTGTTCAAAACGATGCTTTTTTTTTACGAAACTTTACCACATTCAAGTGTTAATAAAAAAAGAATGCATGCAGCTATGGACCTTATGTAGCTCTGCCCGAATGAACGGTCAAACGAATTTACGAATGAACCGCTCATTTTAAAATCTTCCTGACATTTGTTATGATATCTACTTCGCACATTACAATGCTCATGAAAACTTTCGTTAACTCTACAATAAGTAAATCCACTTCACCAGCTAATTACTCTTCAACAGCAGGGTTCCTACGCGGATTGGAAAAGTATGGAAAAAAGTATTTTTATAGTATATAGTATAGTAAAGTATATAATACATCGTGTACACTCACTAAACAAAGAGTGACAGAGCAGAGCCAATTCATAAAAGATCAATATTTAAAAGCACACGTCCAGTTTTGTGTGAGTGAAGGAAATCCGCTTGGGAGGGAAGAGATTCATGAGCCAATTCATAAAAGAACAATATTTAAAAGCACACGTCCAGTTTTGTGTGAGTGAAGGAAATCCGCTTGGGAGTGGAGAGATTCGTCCTCGCGCACATGGATCGCGTGCCTACACATGCCAGGATCCGCCACTGCCAGATGCAGTTAGAAATTTACTAAAAATAAGCCTATCGCAAGACATCTGGTAGGGGGGGCACCTGGGGTGGCCAGCCAAATTTCAGGGGGGGCCGGTGCCACCCCAGGCCACCACGTAGACACGCCCCTGGTCAAGAGCCCACCTCTGGTCTTAGATATGCCTCATGTTCTTTCAGGTGTAAATCTCTAAGATTTTTCATGTAGTGCTATATGGGTGTGTCCTTGTAATTGTGTGATTGACCTCACCCTTTAAAACACCTCTTGTGTCTTCATGCAAGTATGCACTAGTAAAACTCACTAACTGTAATTGTTTGGACCGCGACCAAAATCAGTAAGGTGTAAAGCTGATCTTGAACGATATCTCACCTAATCTGTTATAATCTGCTGTTTTATTGCTTTTTTTGTTGTTTAAATTGCAGTACAGTGTATGGACGTACCAAAGTGGGTGTGTAAATATGATTCTTTAGCTCACTAGACTGGGAGCTTGAGAAAACACCCACACCCAGTGTTCACACAGACACTTGCTATCGTTCACCTGCAGGGCTGGCAGGAGTCGCAGCGTGTTGCGTTTTATGCATTTTGACAGGTTTTTGACTTGGTTACACCCAGCTAGGTGTGTCCTGATGCCATTGCCATAGTGAAGGGAGTTAAACTCGCAGGACCTTTATATGCGAAACCTGAAGAACAACTAGCTGAATAAATAATTCTAAACTCTAAAGAACCATTTCAGTAATGTGTATAGTAACACACGAAAAGACTATTTGTGTCAGCATGAGGCATATTTTGGCACGAATAAACAACCACAGGTTTTGCAAACCAACAGACATCTGCTTAGTATTGCTGTTGTGCAGTTTATTTTGCTAAAAATCTCTGTTCTTAGTGGCAGCGCAGCCACACACACCACATATGTGCGTGTGTTCACCCTCTCTTCGAGTGTCGACATGCAAGGCATCCAAAATATGTTCAGTCTGTTCTCATGATGTTCTGTAAAGTACAGCACATGTCTAAAATGTAACTTTCATTTCATGACACGATTGTTTGTCTGGCTGTGGTCAGGCATTCCTGCTGGTTGGGGAATGTCTACCCTCTGATCACGTGCATTTTGAAAAGTTTATTGGAATGAATCCATCAAACCACTTCACTGTGCATTTAGGTGCTTGGTTAATTCATACTAATGTTTTATAATTAATTTGTGGCATTACTCGCACAAAGACTTTGCTGGTGCTCTTTGGCTGCTCTAATCAACCAATCAGGTTGTTATGTCCTGAGGCCTGTCTTTGATCAGCCCCACCTCTTTTGGGAATATAACCAGAATAGAACAGCTGTCATGAGTGCTGGGATGTTCGGATCAGATCTTATTTGCTCATTGGAAACAAAAAAAAATAAAATGTGTTTGTGCTTTTGTTTTTCTTCATACACACATACATATATATTTACTTTTGGATAGAAACTTTAAAATATATTGTCACCAAAATTCAATTTTTGGTAAAACCACCACTATATATATTTATTTTTATTTTTATTTTTTTATTTTATTTTTTTTTAATGTTGGAACATACATTTAAGCATTTTTATCCACTTTTTAGACACGTAGACTTTATCATAGTTAAATAAATATATAATAATAAATATATAATTACATGTATTTTTAACGCTGGGCATAAAGTTAGGCTTTTTATCAACTTAATTGGAAAATAATTAACTTTATTACGTATATAATAAATGTATTTATTTATTGGTAAAAATTTATGTGGGATTAATAGACTATCAAAATCATTTTTAGTTGATCATCGAGTATGTTGATCTGTCTTCTCTGGGGCATTGGTCATCTCTTGGTCATTTTATGCATTTAGAGCTATTCATTCATGAAAAGACCATGTGCAAATGCCCTTCAAGAAGCTTTCTAGATCTGATCAAACTACCTCAGTAGGTTGTTTGAGGTGCATACAAGACCTGACTCGATCAAGAGTAAATGCGTCTATTTTTATTTTTTTTTTAACTCCTCCCAAGCTGATATTTGCATATAACACAGGAATAGTAGATCTGATGATTTATGTCTGTTTTATGGGTGCACATTTATGTGGCCAAGTGTTAATGGAATGTTTATATTAAATCGGATAGCAGTCTGTTCAATGAAAATGCAAATCTCCTCTTCTCTTCTGGAGTTCAAAGGTTTTGGTTAGACACAGTCAGAATGTGCTATAAAAAGAGCAAGATAAATGGAAGATGTACTGTAGATTACCTGAAGGAGGGGAAGAGAGAAATAATTGATAATGTATGAAGAGGAGTTCAAGTGAAAGTAAATCGACACTACAAGGTGCAGATAAATGTGAAAGGAGAAAAAGTTATGGCAGCCAAATACATTTGGTCTGTTCTTGCTTATTTTGAGAACAAGGTTTTATTATTGCTTTGCTTTAAGTTATGAATGGATTTTAAGAAACAATACTGCTTCAATATTGAGCTGTTGTCTGAAATGGACAGTGTAGTTGTGTGTTTAAGTGTGTGAGAGCTGGAGAAAGGGGAGGGGTTTGGTGTGTAGGGGTGTGTAAATGTTGACACGCAGAGCCGGTTTTGTGAGGTTGTTGTGCTTTCAATCAAGCATTATATCACACGCCTTGTTTGAGACGCCAAGGGTTTTTCATCTTGTTGATCAAGAACAGATTGCAGCAGGACTTAAAAATTACATTTTTAACAAGCTTTGGCTGCTGTTTTGCACAAATACGTTTTAATATTTCTGATTAATATATATGATCGTTTTGTTGTTTTGCAGGTTTTACCTTTGGACTGTTTGGTTTGAGTCCAGGAGGCCAAAATGGAAATACACTGTAAGTACTTGCAATTGTTACAACAGGGTTCGACACTGCCAGATGGCCCGGGGCCAGCGTGAAAGACGCTCGGGACAGTTGACGAGTGTGTCGCTGGCCTGATCGGGCCACTGCTGCGTCGTCACGAAAGTTTATCATTTGCACATGTTTTTAAGCCTTTCAAAAAAAAAATATATATATATATTTGAAAGCATTCTAGCAAGACGCGAAAGACAACACTCCATTCAGTACTCATGCGCTGTGTTCAGTGTACAGTGTGTATTCTTGCACTTGAACAGACAAATACATACAAAAGTAGGTCAATATACCCGTCTAGGCAAGTAACTTTCTAGCTTTATCAATGATTAATCGATATTTAAATTCTACAGTGGAGCACAGATGCACCCGTCGACTGGCCATTTTTTGTTTTATTTCAGCCGATCTCTGTTCCCGCCTTGCACACAATCTACATTGTCATTTTCCAAAATGACATTTGTGAGGAAATATTACAAATGTGTAAGAGGCCAGAGACGCTGAAGACGAACGCAAAAAGAGGAGAAAATACTGTAGAAGACAGAAAAAAGTCACTGTGCATGATGCACGAAATATTGGAAGAAAAACCTAAATACTGAATTGAGGGTTTATATTAATGTGTTTCTGAGGGGACCTGACAGTCTTCAGAAAAGTTTACATGGCGTTTTCTTTTCATTTGCCTCTCTATAATGCATTTAATATAGTGTTAATAAGTGCAGCGCTGCTTTGTTTACAGCGGTAACCAAGGAAAAGCTGTATCACTGCTGTTCCATAAGCGCCACCTGCTGTCAGAGAGTGAATCTGTCTCATTCAGCCTGTTTTTCGTAAAGCATCATTTCATTTGTGTCTTTGTTCTGTATATTCAGTTGTGCTATTGCTTGTAATTTGTTCATTTGTTCTTATTTACTGACTGTTCACTTGTCTTTAACATTTTTTTTACTTTATATTTGTTAGGCTAGTAGTTTTTGCTCTGGTATCGAAATTGGAATCGGGAATTGTATAATTTAATTGGTATCTACAATTTTGGTGTCATATAAGCTTATTTATTAGAATAAAAGATAACATGGATCAAAAACAATGATAACAGCAACTATTTAATTTTTTTATGCCAGGGCCAGTGAAAATATTGGTAGGGCAAGTAAAAATGTGAACCACTGGTCCGACTGGGCCAATAGAAAAAATCCTTAGCGTTGAGCCCTGTACAATATTAGTCTGTACAATGCACATAATCCAATTAACATTTTCATATCATGAATGATAACCACTAAATGGCAAAGAGTAAAAGTTATTTATATTTACTATTTTATGTAAAATAGAAAATTAAATAAATAATACTAAAAGCTTAATCTTTAAATGCTATAAGTGAATTAGGCATCACAACATTATAATGGATATTCATTTTGACATTTGAGGTTGATTTAATGTATAATTTAATTTATTTTAATGTCTTTATTTATATATTAATGATTTAAAGATGAACTTTGAGTGTTAGTTGATGGGAAAAAAGTGTGTGAAAAAACAAGGGAAAAGAGCCTGCACAGCTAAATATCTAATATCCAGTATCGACCGATACTGATACAAATCTCTAATATTTTCTGATAATTGATATAGTAGTAATACATTGGGCATCCCTAATAAAATTCCCAATCAGTTTAATAGTTCTTTCAAACGAAAGGAAAGGAGTTTTCTGCTTTGTAATTCATGTTTATTAGCTTTGAGGCCATCTCTCTACTGATTTCCATGTTTCATGATGCTTTGTGTGATTGTAAGAGTAATTTCAGTGGGTGTTTTATATGGTTTTGATGCAAATAGATCAACTCAAACTCTTGTTGTGTATGTGTGTATCAGTGGCAGAGGCCCCAGGCGCGGTGAAGGTCACAGAATGGCAACAGTCGTATTACGGGACAGATTCAGGCATCCAGTCAGGAGCCACTACAGTTCGCTCAGATAAAGATGGAACCGAGTACAGCACCAAGAAGTTCAGCTACTCCACCACATTCACAGAGAACCCTGCAGGTGAAGAACATATCATATACTAGGGCTGCACGATAATGGTTAAACGGTTCATCAGGATTATTTCGATCAAAAATATGATCACGATTATTAAGCACGATTGTTATCATTTAACATTTTTACATTTCATCAGAATTATTGCACTTTCACATAAGCAAGAGAACAAGATGTAGTCACAGTAAACAGTGCAAAGAATCGCATGAAAGAACACAGACTGGCTCTATTACACTTTTATTTAAGCAGAATATCTCAGTAGAGATTTCTAAACTCTGACTTAAATGTTTGCCGGTGTTTTCAGTTCATCAGCACTTTTTCCGTAATGTAGAGAGAGCGTGTGCACATGGTTGCCAGTTTGGGAAGATTCAGTAAACCACTGGGCAGAAAATGTATCGATTTAAGAAAAAAGCTCTGATTGGAGGATTTGAAATCTGGCAACTGCAACCATGAAAGCTTGTTTGAAAGTTTAGTTTATAATTCTCTATGTGTCACTCTCTCCTATAGACGTGGAGTCTCAGTATAATATGACTCGTGCCCAGCGTGTGAGGGCGGCCATGTTTCCTGAGACAGTGATGGAGGGAACGGCCATCCTTTCCACACAGATGGATCCGTCCCAGCAGACCAATGTACAGAAGCTGGCCGAACCGTCTCAGCAGCTCAAAGCCGCCATCATTCATCTCATCAACTACCAGGACGACGCCGAACTCGCCACACGCGCCATTCCAGAGCTCACCAAACTCCTCAACGACGACGACCAGGTACCTCGCTGCTCGTATTAAACATTCAGTCTCTGCTTTTTATAAAAATCACCAAAAAACACACAAGCACAGTAGCGTCATGTCCTGACCTTTGAACCCTCTCTCTTGACTTCAGGTCGTGGTGAATAAGGCAGCTATGATCGTGAACCAGCTGACCCACAAGGAGGCGTCCCGTCGGGCTCTGATGCAGTCCCCGCAGATGGTGGCCGCTGTTGTGAGAGCCATGCAGAACACGTCCGACATGGAGACGACCCGCGCCACAGCCAGCATCCTGCACAACCTTTCGCACCAGCGCGAGGGGCTGCTCGCCATCTTTAAATCAGGAGGCATTCCAGCTCTGGTGCGCATGCTGAGGTGAGAGAGTCATACTGAAGTAAAGGATGAGTTCACCTGAAAATTTGATTATTGTTGTGATTTATTCACCCTCATGTCATTTGAACAGCATAATTATGTCAAAATATGATTTATAAAACTTCCATATTTCGTATATGTTTCACCCTAAACTGATGCTATATTAATTAATGCATTTATTGCACATAACAGATTTCCCTTATTTGATTGCACGCATTCCATTGCAGATGGGTGATTCAGGGTTTTATTTACATTATTTGGAACATAGATATTCCTAATTATTAGGAAATTACTCCAGCACTTGATTTAAAATTGGATGGTGGTTTATGTTTCAGTAAGCTGCAAAAAGCAGTTAAAAAGTCATAAATTAGTGTGTGCTAAATTCTTTAAGATATTCTGCCTAAGACTTCCTTTTGTATTTCATTGATGAAATAAAAAAGGAAACCTAATTTGAACAACATAATGGGTAAACTATTATTTAAAAAATGAAAATAAAAACTTCATTCATAAAACTTGTATGTCGTATTTGTGTCACCTTAAATTAAAGCTATTTTAATTTATGAATTTATTGCACATAACAACAGATTTCTCTCATTTGATTGGACACATTTCATTGCAAATGTGTGATTCAATGTTTTATTTACATTATTTGGAACATAGATATTTCTAAATTACTAGAAAGTAGATGGTGATTTAATTTATTCTTCGATACGCTGCAAAAAAACATTTATAAAGTTGTACAAAAAAAAAAAAAAGATGATGAAATAAAGTACTTCTTAGTTGGAACAACTTCTGACAAAAAATGTTCTTTTTTTTTGATAAACTCTTACTTAAAAAATAAATAAATAAAAACACTTAATTAATAAAGATTGTATTTTTTTTGTAAATAAAAATAATGTTTTATTTACAATAGTATTCATTTTTTAAGAAATCACTCCAGCAGTTGATCTGAACTATCCAACCCATTTCTTTTGTAGTTCTCCGATGGATTCAGTTCTTTTCTATGCCATCACCACCCTGCACAACCTGCTTCTGCATCAGGAGGGAGCCAAGATGGCGGTGCGTCTGGCTGATGGTCTGCAGAGGATGGTTCCCCTGCTGAAAAAAAGCAACCCCAAGTTCCTGGCCATCACCACAGACTGCCTACAGCTGCTTTCCTATGGCAACCAGGAGAGCAAGGTGTTTATTTCATTATTTAAAAAAATAATACAAATAAATGTATTAGTTTTTGAAGTTCTGTTTCTCGTGTTCTTGTTCTTTGTTAAGGATTGTAGAGTTTTTATTAAAGTTTGATGGTGTGTCGTGATAACATCTGTCTGATTGTCTCCCAGCTGATTATCCTGGCTAACGGTGGCCATGAGGGTCTAGTGAGTATCATGAGGACTTACAACTATGAGAAGCTGCTCTGGACCACTAGCCGTGTGCTCAAAGTGCTCTCTGTCTGTCCTAGTAACAAACCTGCTATTGTGGATGCTGGTAAGTCAAATTAGAACCCCTCTTCTAAATATTGCTAAGGCAGCCATCACACTTTTAATTATACTAATCCACTATGGACATCAATGATAGATGTTTTATCAAATTCTGGACGTGCAAGTGGCAGGTGTTCAATAAAACAATAAAAAAAATTAATTATTTCAACAACAGTCGTGTGTTTATGTGAATGATTGCTGTTTTGAAACATTGATTTTGACATCTGAAATAAAGACACTATCTCTCCAATGAAATTGCATACAGTTTTTTATGTTTATGAAATTTCTTTTAAAAATAAATCTATATAGTTTTTTATTAAATTTCAGTACATTTTTTTTGGTACATCAAGTTAAACTAAATTGAAATGAGAAATATTGCTTTGGCATCCAAGTGAAATAAACTATATAGAGATTTTTTTGTTTTATTCGTTTTTTTTTCTCAGTTAATGTTTATTTTATTAAAAGTAAGGAAAATCTTTCTTTATAGTTTTAGTTAACTAAAATAACACTGCCACTCACAAATGTATCTAAAATGTTCTCTCTCAGGTGGAATGCAAGCTCTTGGTAAGCATCTGAACGGCTCTAGTCAACGTCTGAATCAAAACTGCCTGTGGACCTTGAGAAACTTGTCAGACGCTGCAACCAAACAGGTCAATATCTAACATCTAACACCATCTAACTGTCTTTCACACACCCAAGTGGGCCTTCTTTTAAGTAATGTAGATTTATTCTAAATTAACATGCTGAAAAAAATAAGGCAAAAAAATAAAGATGGACTGAATTTTGCCTACTTTGTCCTTCACTAAATTCTGTTTGTGTTAAAGGGCACATCGTATGCCCATTTTCCACAAGTTGGTATGATTCTTTAGGGTCTTCTTGAAATGTCTGCAAAATACCTTGGTTAAAATTCCTCAATAGTCTTGTAAAAAAAACACCCCTTTTACCTTGTCAAAAACAGCTCTGTTCACAGCGACCTGTTTCGGTGCATGTCTCTTTAAATGCTAATGAGCTCTGCTCACCCCGCCCCTCTCTAGACAAGCAATCTAATGAGCTCTGCTCACCCCGCCCCTCTCTTCTGTTTTTTGTGTATTCGGTTGCGCATCACCATCAAAAGCAAAAACTGCCTCCTCAGTGGCTCTGATGTCGGGAGAAAATGAAGACTCTTATGTTCACTTTTACGTCCAGCTACAAAACACCTGCATTGTTTACAAAGCCAGAGAGACAGCTGCTCGAGCGCTGAGTAAACGGCAGATAACGTGCAACTGGCTGAGGGCAGAAATATGCTAATATGGAACAGTCCGTCAGTGGTCGTGGGCGGGGCCTGAGCAATATGACGTAATACTGCTTAGAAAATCAAAACGGCTTGATAATTGAGACTGTTTAGGTTTTTTGGGGAATTTTGCATCCGATGTCCCTTTTAAAAGTACAACGTGATTGAATCGTCAGGACTCATGAAGTTTCAGTGAATTGTGGTTTATTCATTTAATGTAACGTATCAACCCTCCCAGTTTATTTTAATTAAAAAATATATATATATAAAAACGACCCATATTTTCATGATTACAACAGAAACACCGGAAATTATTTGTATGTATAATATGTTTTGGTGCCAACACATGCTCACTCTCTCACCCCCTGCAGGACGGAATGGAAAATCTGCTCCAAGTGCTGGTCGGCCTGCTGTCCTCTGATGACATCAACATGCTGACCTGTGCCACGGGCATCCTGTCCAACCTCACCTGCAACAACACACGCAACAAAACACAGGTGACCCAGAGTAATGGTGTGGAGGCTCTGATTCATTCCATCCTGAGGGCCGGTTCAAAACAGGATGTGATCGAGCCAGCTGTCTGTGCCCTGCGCCACCTCACCAGCCGGCACCCGGAGGCTGAGTCTGCACAGAATGCCATACGAATGCATTACGGCATCCCCGCTATTGTCAAATTGCTCAATCAGCCCTACTACTGGCCAGTCGTTAAGGTAAGTGAAAGAAAAACAGAAAACTGGCAAATTAATACCTTAGTGAGAAAAATGTTTCCTTTTTTTAAATCTTTAAAAAAAAAAAAGAAAATACATATTGATCAAATCAATTAAAGGTACACTAATCAATTTTTTTTATTTGATTTTGTTTTATTTTACTATTTTGTAACAGTGCCGTTGCTTAAATTTACAGGGCCCAGAACAATATTTTATAAGTAGTCTCTGTCTCAATGCGTAGTTTATACCATAGAGGGCCTTACTGGGCCTCCTGTTGTGCAGTATAACCATGTTTTGCTGACCCCACGTTTCTCGTCATCGCAGGCTGTGGTTGGTCTGATCCGTAACCTGGCGCTGTGTCCAGCCAATCAGGCTCCTTTGAGAGACGCTGAAGCCATTCCCAAACTGGTCACTTTGCTTTCGAAAGCTCATCAGGATGCACAGAAACACGGTTCATCTGCTCAACAAACATACCAGGTATGAATTCCTCACCCGTCGCTGTAACACAGATGCACAATAAGGATTTAACCAGGACAGGGTTTAACCATTTCAACCAAAAAAATAATGACTCTTCCAAAAGAATGACTCTGAGTTGATTCCTTTTAGTGAATCAAAAACATGTAGCGCAACCAGTGTAGTGCAGTTTCTAAACAAGTGACTCTTAACGAGTTGGTTATTTTTAGTGAATCAACATGTAGCTCAACCAGTGTAGTCCAATTTCTAGCCAAATGACTCTTGAGTTGTAGATCAGCTGTCAACTAACTCTGAGAGTTGAATCAGTGTATATACTGACTGGTTGTTTATATGAGTATAGTTAAAGATACTCATATTATTTGTTATATTTATTAAATAATATTATTATTCATTAAAAGTGCTAAAAAAATCATTAATAGAATTGTTAAGTAACCAAAATCATTGAGAGGAATCAAAACCAGAATTGTTAAATTCTCTACAATTCACATTTTTATGCACATAATACAATGTATAGACTACTATTTTGTCACTGAATTACCAAAATGTCCTTTTTTTTTTCTCTCTCTCTCTCTCTCTCTCCTCAGGATGGGGTGACATCCAAAGATGCGAAAATGATCAGCAGCGTAGTATACAAATAGTGTACGTGCATAGCCAGATTTTTCTAGGCACAGACACTGGACTAGAATGAAACTCTCTAGCACACTATCAAATGTATTATACTTTAAAAGGCTATGCATTCACGTCAATACTCACTGAAGTATAATTTGGGCTCAAGCGTGCAACAAAGGTATTTTCTTTTTTTTTCAGCCACCTATGCTGCTGCTGTTCTTTTCCGAATTTCTGAGGACAAAAACTCAGACTATAAGAAACGAGTATCAGTGGAGCTCACGCACTCACTCTTCAAACACGACCCTACTTCTTGGGAGATGGTGAGTTATTCTACTATTATTCTACAAGAAAACCAAATTTAGACATTATTTTTCCATATTTGGTCTTGAAATGTGGTCTTTATAGTAAGGCGACCAGATTCTTTTAAAGGATACTGGGGACATTTCTTAGTCCTATGATCAAAATATAACTGAAAACTGTTTTATGAATTCTACGAAAAAAATGGATACAATACATTTTTTGCTTGTTTTTGTTTTTTAATTGTTGTTGGTTCAGTATACCATTATTGTAAACCCTAACTGGTTTTGATACAATTCACCAAAAATCACACTAATAGCAGGCACAATAAAAAAATACTAAATAGTAACAGATCAATACAGTATTATATTATAACAGAATTATGCCTTTACAAAAAAGTTATGAAATAAAACAAATATGAACGCTTGCTAAATAAAACTAACAAACATTTGTAACATCTTCTAATTGTTTTTAATGTTTTTATTTTCACAAACTATGAATATAACCTATATACAGTAACTGCAACTCTTAGCTTAGTACTTTCATAAAATTGGCAATGGCTGTGATGTATTTATATAAATATAGTCTGACGCGCTACATGTCTGCCATAACAGTACTGTGTTTTCAGTTTTACAGCGATTCACTGTAAATGTTAGCTATGGTTAAAATTGCTTTAATTTGTATTTGGGACGCAACATTTGTCATTGGAATCTTTTATAAATCTGCTGTTGTTTACAAATAGAAGTTTCAGTGTCACATGATCCTTCAGAAATCAGTGTAATATGCTGATTTGCTGCTCAGTAACATTTACTATTTATTATTGTCAATGTTAAAAACTGTTTTTGCTGCTTAACATTTTTGTGGAAACAGTGATACCACTCAAACATATATTAATTATTATCAAGATTATGAAATGCTGCTTTTTATTTTTACAGGACAGTAGTATGTATTACTACAATATAAGATATATCTTTTAATGTGATAAAATATATATATATTTTTTTTTTTTAATAATAAGTGCCGGGGATGTGGTCAGATTTTCCTGCTTTTTTTGTCTCTAGCTGATCACATGCCTGCCTGGCTTTTAGAAATGGATCTTTACTGGGCATTATTTTGCCTTATTTATTTATTGGGCTTATTATTTTGCCTTTTAGGATCATTTTGTTTGGTTAAACTCATTTAGGCTCAGTATGTTAGATGTCTATTATACATTGGCCATGAAATAATGCCATGTTTGATTTCATGTTGATTTTAAAGCTGAACAGCCTTTATATGACAGTACGTTGACATAACCCCCAACAAATGATATAATTTATCATAGAAATATGAACATAGAGCACAGGTTTTGACCATTTCCTTGTTACATTTTAGGCACGCACCATGATGGAACCTGGCCTTCCAGAAGACGGTTAGTATATCGTCTCTCTCTCTCTCTCTCTTTCTCTCTCACAATGATTTGGCAGCTAATTATCTCCATTATCGTTAGTTCTGTCTCTAATGACTATATGAAACACTATTGGTTCTGCAGAGACTGTAAAATTATGCAGATGGCTAACTTTTTGCAGTGTTGTGCCTCGTCTCATACAGAGCTCGATGGTTATGGCCTCGCAGGATATCAAGGATACGGTGATGGCATGCATATGGATGTTATGCCTCTAGAAGCAGAAATGCCAGAGGATTTTGGGCCAGGCATGGGTTACTCCATGGCCAGAGCCTACCCTGATTACTAACAGGTTAGTACTACTCAAATACACTAGCTGTCATTTAAAGACTCAAAAAGGATTGTGTGCTGAAATTGCATTCAGCTGAGTGTTTTTATGTTTATTTTACAGCCCGATGATGAATTGAGCTCCACTGAAAGAGGGCTATGAAAAATACAAGAGACAGAAGCTCTTAGCAGAGGTTTTTTTTTTTCCATCACTGGGTGCCTGTGGTCCATTCCTCAGTAAACACACACTGACACTGCTGTAATATATGCAATTCTCACTGTGCTGGGAGAGGCAGAATCCAGCACAACTATAAGCTGCCTTTATACAAGGATGACAGCATGTTGCATTTTAAACGTCTTTTTGTAGAAAATATTCTATTTTAGCATTTCTTATGGGTGCATTAATACATTGTTGGTAAGAGGACTGGTTAATTATGCCAAAGAGATTTTATTATAATATTTTATAATGATAATCACATTGCTTTTTAGATTTTGGAAAATGCGATCAATGATTTAGGCTTGTGATCTCACAATAACTGACCCGAAGTCAGCTTAATAGCTTCGTTCACTGTGGTTTTAGTCAGACGGGTGGTCAGAGCTGATCTGTAATCATTTTTAATGAGTGGAAATGTCTGGCATGTTGATTTCCTACAGCGCTTAGAACTCAATACAGTGCATCTCCATGTTTCTTCCCTTACCGAGACTGTCAAATACTGGAGTTCTTACATGGAATCTTTTTCCCCTCCATATATTTGTTTTGCTGAAGTTGTCTTAATGTGTAGACGAGGAAATACGGATTTTGTTTTTGAATTGCAATGTGTATGGAGATTTTTTATTTGCGTGATAAATGTTGTGCTGATTGAAAGGGACTAATGTTTAACCAAACAATAAAACCTTAAAAGTTTTAAAAATTAGCTTCACATTTGTTCAAATATTAACTCGTAAGAGGCAAGCTGAACAAAGGGATTCTTTGTAGCATTTTTACTTCACTTTGCCCAAAAAAATCTAAATAAAATCATGTTATCTAATGCTTTGTGATGCACTTCATTTTGATAAGTACTAGGGTGTTACTATAGTTTAAGTATTCAAAGGGTTTACGAGTCATTTTTCTTCAATTGGTTTCATAAATGGACATGGTTAAAATTTGCTGAATATTTACTCACCAAGTTTGTTTCTTTGTGGGAAAAGATTTGGAGAAATTTAGCATTACATCACTTGCTCACCAGTGGATCCTCTGCAGTGAATGGGTGCCGTCAGTCCAAACAGCTGATAAAAAAATCATAATGAATCAGGAGCGAAATATGCAGAGCAAGTGATGTTTACAAGCGAAACCAGTCCAAACCAGTTTTTAAATAAGTTGATGGATGGATTATTGACTTGTATTTTGGCCAGAAGTAACGGTTTAAAGTTAAAAGCATCTTAATGAAGGATTGGTTTACTACAAACACAGCTTTTCACTTCATAAGGAGTTAACTGATGGACTGGAGTCGTGTGGATTACCTGTTTTTATCAACTTTTTGGATTCATTCTGACGGCACCCATTCACTACAGAAGATCCATTGGTGAGCAAGTGATGTAATGCTACATTTCTCCAAAGCTATTCCAAAGAAGAAGCAAACCCATCTAAATTTAGGATGGCCTCCTTTTTTGGCTTTAAGCTTTTTGTTTGTATCCAGTCTTCCATAAAGAAATGAAGCCAACATACTGTTGGTCAACAGACAAGTGAAATATTAAACATTAAGTGGAATAAAAAATAAAAAAAAGTTTAATATACACAAACTACACCAACATGCAAAGGTGGGCAAACCGTAACATTTACATACAGAACTTCTACAGGGAGGGGGCTTGTTGTTTATGACTGGCGTGTTTTAAAGTGTCATTTTACAATTATTTTAGAGATAATTAAACGAGTGACTCGGGATCAAACTTGTGTACATTCTGGTTTATTAAAACTGTACATCCCCCCCCAAAACCATTACAAAGCTGATGTACAGAATAAAATATAAGGCAATAGATGTCTTCCGTTTTGAATCGGAAGAGTTCATGCCAATATAAGAATACATAAAAATTTTAAAAAAAAAAAACACTTAAAAAGGCAGGCAAAATATTTGACAAACAAAGGAGAAATCAACC